TCTCCGGTACCGGGAACCGAACTCATGACCTTGCACTTGCCAGGCAGGTGCTTTTGCCGCTGAGCTAAATCCCCAGCCCCAAGTACTTTTTTTTGGTTTTTCTCCGGTACCGGGAACCGAACTCACGACCTTGCGCTTGCCAGGCAGGCGCTTTGCCACTGAGCTAAATCCCCAGCCCCTATTTGCTGTTCTTAGAAGAGATATCTTGCTCTTCTTTTGCACTCTGGTTGACAGCCATTCTGACTGGTGTAAGATAGAACCTCAGAGCTGCTTTGATTTGCATTTCCATAATGGTTAAGTGTAAACTCAGACTTCCCAAGAATCTAGTAACCTTGGCCATTCTTTTATCTTCTTTGTTGATCTGAGTGAGCACTCTTGTTTATGTTTGATTTGAATTCAGCACCAAGGGAAAAATATAACATCTAAACCACAAATACCAAATGTTTCATGTGTCCCTAGGAAGAGAGCCATCTCACAATAAGCAACAGTCTTATTAATGGTTATAATTTTCTGTAATTATTTGTCATTGAAGAAAGCTTCTAGGAGTTTCTGAATCTCATTCTACCAACCATTAGGCAGTTATGGACCAATCAGTAGGCAACATTATAGATCTTTGCAGCTCATATATTTTCAGTATTTTATTCTTTAAGTGGACAGTGATAGAGAGGTAAAAGGCATCATCACTAACAGACCGGATTCTAGAAGATCTTCATTGCACATTGATAGGAGTGGCAGAGTCAGTGGATGACCTTGTTGTTTTCACTGACCTCTTCTTGTGACTGCCCTTGAACTCAGCAATGAAATGGTGAACCAATGGTTTGTTAGTGTTTTCTCAGCACGAATGGACAGGTAATTGTTTTTAGCCCTGGATTGCTATTAAAGATTTGATATGCAATAAGAAAAATAGATGTATCAAAAGTGCTTCTTCTACAGACAGAAAACACATTTCTATGGTACAAGCATTTTTATGTAAGCCATAAACAATACTAGCGACATTTGTCTCACTGAAATTTCTGGGCATTAAATCCTCAGTTTTCACAGAATTCTTGTGATTTCTTTGGGAAATGATTGAAGCAACTTGGTAATCTGAAGACAATTTGATTAAACACTTCTAAAGGGTGTGTCCTACAATTTTTTTTCCTCCCTGTCAAAACTAAAGAATAGACCAGTACTGGAAGTGAACTTTTGATATCCTCCTCAAGTTTCTACTGGATCTTTGGCTTCCTGCATCAGCTACTACTATGAAAAGTGATACTTAACGGTTACATTATCAAATAGTTCACCAACTAATTGATACTAATTAAAAATTCTGCTGCTGCTGTTCAGTGCAGCTTGTAGCATCGCTGAATAATTTTTCCATGTGGAGAAAATGATTTCTTGTGAGTTTTCCCATGTGTATGATCATTAGCAGGGAGGACCAGTTCTGTAAGACCATAGGAAACAGGGGATTCCAAAACTGTTACCCTCTATGCAGGCCTATGCTACATGATTGCTGGAAAAGATGGATCTGTCTTGCTGAAAGCGCATAAAAAAATACCTAGAGATTCTATTTTATTAACTGACATGATTTTTCCTCATAACTTTACCCTTCAAACATAAGTCCTGCTTAGGGCGAAAAAAAAAAAAAAGGAAAACAGCTCTGAAGTTACATGAACTGGTATTTTAATTTTGTTACTTATATCTTTAAAAAATCTTAGGTGAAAGTATTTAACTCTGTTACAACTTACCTTTTTAAAAACTTGATCATTATTTTAGTCTTATTTGTATTAAAAACTTGTTTTTAAAAAAATATGGAAAGATAAAAACATTTAGTATAATAATCTTCTGGATAGTAAAAGCCCAATAAATGTTCCTGACGTTATAGTAGGTAATGTAGTTGTTAGCTATTATTTTTATGAGAAAAGATTTTTTTTCTCACAGTTATTCTAATGTACATCATGTTCCTTGGATCTTTATTTGTATAGAAAGGTATAAATGATCCTGAGAAACATTTTAAAATGGTATTAATAAACTTTTGGTGAGGGGTTTAAAGAGCTCTCTGTTTTATTTAAGTTTGTTGGTACAACTTAGATACACATAATGCTCACATTCATTGTAGGGAACTTACGGCTGTGCAAGGTAGGTCCTGGTTCCTCTTTTTTGCCTCCCACTCCCCTCAACTGCTCTTCTCCTCCTTGTTTACAAAGCTTTGTTCCCATTTTATCCTTTTTTCCTCATTTTTTTGCTTTTCCCTTCCTACCCACTGCCCCAGTCTCCTTTCCTTTTAAACATTTTCTTCCTATTTCACAATATCTGTTATATGTTTTGGTCCTTATTTACACTTTTAGTTTCTCACACCAAAGAAGTCATGCAATACACACATCTGATTTATTTCAGTTAAGAGTATGGCCACATCATGGTCATACAT